GGCAATCCAGGGTCTTATCAGCTCGCCCTGTTTTTCTTAGCTGCTCTCTCTCTAGCAGGTGTTTAACTCTTTATTGCCAGAAACCTCTCTGAGGCCCTTTACCTTTCCCTGCCTGTCCCTGAACTTTCCCTGCACACCTATCCTACCCTTCATGTCCCCTATAAGCCTCTTATTTTTGCCCTCAGAAACCTCAGTTTATCCTGCTAGAATCCTTTTTAAATTCTTCACTTTTGATGACCCTATAGTCTCTTGTTCGACAACCAACTCATTTAGGATTTCAAAATATCCTTCTAGGTTGCCAGGGGAGTGATGTCAATCCTCTCCAATCTTCCACTCAGCTTTTGACTCTACTTTCCTGTGGGAGACCAGATAGAAAGATTAAGGCCTAACTGGCCTCTTCTGTGAGTACAAGGGAGAAAGGCAGCGTGAGTGCGTGCTGACATGCTGCAGGGAAAATTAATACAGCTGAGATCCTATTGTTTACTTGGATATGTACCATGGATGGTGGGAGACAAACGAATCCTCTTTTATCCTGATTGCTCAGGCCTGTGGCTGAGTGAATAAAGCCATGGTGCACCAGTCACTTGTTGCTCTTTGTCAAAGAGAGACAAGAGTTCCCTGGTCCCCCTCATTTTAGCCTACTTCTCTGTCTGTGTTTCATCTTCATCACCCCTTAGTCAAGTACAAGCCCATAGATTGCCCCCCTAGACTTTCCCATTGGCATTGTGATTGGCTTCTTTTAAGTACAGGGATGTGGTGGATTAACTAATGGGCAACTCATAACACCCAGCTGAAATAAATCAGTGTGGTGTTGGGTGTGGAGGGCCCACCTGAGGATTGTTGCCAACAACATAAAAGGAGAACTGGAGGTAAAGATGGTGCACTGTTGAATCTCCTGGAGAAGCTTGTTGCACTGGTTTTCCGGATATGAGCACAGCTGTTCTCATCATTGGGGAAGCTCATGTCCTTGCTGTTGATAAAGATAGCTGGAGTTTTTTTTGGAAGAGCTCTGGTCCTTACCTTGAGTATCAGTTCCTGGCTCCAGCACAGATCCCTCAGCCTGCTGGCACAGATCCTTCATCCTACTGGTGCAGACTTTCTACCTTCACTACTGACCTTTGGGCCTTTCCAGTGCAGCGCCTTGATACAGACTTGCAAGCAACATTGTTGTGGGCTCTAGGCCTCCAGCTGGACTTGTGGAGAACATTGCCATGAGCTCTAGGTCTCCAGCTGGACTCGTGCAGGACATAATCATGGGATCCAGGCCCTCAGCTGGATTCTTTGGGTGTCTAGTGTGTGGACAGATCTCTTGCACTCTTGCATTTGACACTTTGGGTGACTATTATAAACTAATCCTATAAATGATGTGTCCTGTATTAAATCTTTTCCCTTGTAAACCCTGATTACAACAGGGGAGGAGTTCCAAAGGTTTTCTTTCAATCTGAGCTTCTGATTCATCCAATGAATACAGAAAGTATTTCTTGGGCATTCCAACATCTCTGACCACTTGCTACCATGTGTGGAGCACTAAGTTCAATCCCCAATACCATAAAAAATAAACTGGTATTTAAAAAGCAACCTGTAAAAATGAAAATAAAACTTTAATGCTTGAGCAACTAATTTCAATTTAGGTGGTAATATTGGTGGTATTCTGAGATTGATTAAATAAATTGGATAAAACAAACGGAGGATATTTTATCATTCCTGGTGTCATGGTGAACTTGGAATTTTAGCTTGAGAAAAGAGGTATAAACTGGGTGTAATGAGATTTGTTTGTAACCCCAGTACTATGGGAGGCTGAGACAGGATCAAAAGTTGAAACTCAGCCTGGGTAACTTAATGACTAAGCAAGACGCTGTCTTGACATGTAAAATAAAAAAGGACTGGGGATATAGTTCAGTGAGAAGGCCCTGAGTTTAACTCCACACTTTTTAAGCTGGTACCCCAAAGAGCTATAACATCAGCATAAAGATCAAATATATGAAATCAGCATGGCCTCTGCCATCATTTGATGGGTAGGCTTCACCCATCAATCTCAAATGCCATACATAGAAAGAGGTCCCAGACTAACAGGACTTTGTCAAAAACAAATGGAAATTAACTGTGGCAGAAGAGAGCATTCTAGACCTCATATGATCCCTTAAAATATTTTTCAAGTGCAGTGCCTGTGTTAGTTTCCCATCACTATAACAAAATAGTTTAAAGAATCAACTTACTCAGAGAAATGGTTATTTTGACCCACAGTTTTGGAAGGTTCAGTTCATGTTGTCTGGGCCCATTGCTTTGGACCTGTAGTGAGGCAGCACATCCCAGTAGGAGCACACAGTAAAGCAAAACTATTCACTAATGGCCAGGAAGCAAATGGGAAAATAAAGAAAGGGCCAAGGCCAAACAGGACAAATACAATTTAATCTAAGCTCTTTTTATTGTGGTAGTTTTGGTGGTACTGGGACTTGAACTTAGGGCCTTCACAATGAACTATATCCCCAAACACACTCCCCTTTTAAAATTTTTTTATTTTGAGACAGTCTGATTAAGTTGCCCAAATTGAGCTTGAACTTTTAGTCCTCCTGCTTCAGGCTCTAGACACATACTACTACACCCAGCTTTAAACTTTTGGAGAAATTTCAGAAAATCAAAAACAGAAATATTTTTTAAAAAGAATTTTCTTCAATAGAGTAAAAGAGCCAAGCACAGTGGCACATACCTTTAGTTCCAACACTCGGGATGATGAGGCAGGAGGATCACCATGAGTTCAAGGCTAGCCTAGGCTACATAGTGAGTTCAAGGCCAGCCTGAACTACATAGGAAGACCCAGTCTAAAAAAAAATAGAGTGAAAGATTGACGGCTGTCTTCTAAAAGCAGGAAACAGAACCCACAGAAATGAGTCCAGGAAACAGAATTCAAATAAGTTACCATCCCAAAGCCACCTCAGAGTAGGGACTCGCTAATCAAGAGACCACACACACTGCCATTCCAAATTCCCCTGTTATGGCTTATATCTAGATATCCCTCCAAAGCCTCATGCATTCATAGGTGGGGCTTTTGGGAGCTGGCTGGATCTAGGGTGTATGATGCTGGCATTAAGGGTGTATAGTACTAAATTAGCCCATTGATTGGTTTAGCACAGTTCTGCATGTGGATAATGGGAAGGCCCACCCTGAGTGTGGATGGCACCACCCAAGCTGCTCTTAGCCTGAATGGAATAAAAGGGGAAGAGAAGCTTGCTTGGTTGCTGCTGCTTCTGCTGCCTCCTGCCTGCTCTGCCATGAGCTGTTTCTCCTCTGCGATGACCCTTGGCCATGCCATCCTGCCTTGGAACCAGCCAACTATGGACTGAAACATCTACAAACCATGAACTGAAGTAAGCCTTTCCTACTGTAATGTGTGGGTATCAGGTAATTTGTCCCAGCCATGAAAAAGTAACTAAGACATCCCCCTTATCCAAGGGAGACATCAGAAACTAATATGCATTCTTCCTGTCCAATTTTAAATTCTGTCTTTCCCACTACAGGCCCCTGCATTTTTGTTACTGTGGTTGTTCTGGAGTATTCACTAGGCTCCTTGAAAGACTCTGAACCAATTCCTTCCAATGAAGAAGTTCCTGCCTTCTGGATTATGCATGTTGCCATTGTTCCTGCTACTGCTTCTAGGTCTTTGACTGTGTGTACTTAAACATAGTCATGTCTTTGGAAAACCATGGTGGAATCTACACCTGCAGACTTTACTATGCCCCCTCCCATCCACTTCCATCTCCTTACAAATTGGTTCTTCACACGCTCTACTCCCTTAAAACTATCAGCCAGCCAAAACCCAATGGTACTGTATTAACACCCCTGATGGTTTGCTCCTAAATCATTATTATGGTTTTAGAGAATTATAGTTAGTTGTATTTGTTTGTTTTGCGGTGCTGGGGATTGAACACCAGTTATTCACACCAAGCTCCATCCCCAGCTTTTTTAACTTTTTATTTTGAGACAGGGTTTCATTAAGCTGCTAAATTCCTAGGCTGAGCTCAAACTTGCAGTTCTCCTGCCTCAACTTCCCAGAGTGCTAGGATTATGGCTAATTTTCTAATGATGCATGACAAATCCCATGAGTTATTAGTTATTAACTCCTGAATCTGTAGGTCAGAATGGCTGCTTATCTGCTCAAGCTCTCATAAGGCTAAAATTAAGGTGTCAGCCAGACTGGGTTCTCTCTCCTTTGGACCTCCAAGTCCTCTTCCAAATAAATGTGGTTATGGCACAATTTAGATCCTTAAGGCGGCCTGCACTCTTGCCACTTGGTCTCCTACACCTTTAGTTAAAAAGACTCCAATCCTCTCACACCTTCAACCTCTTTTGTCAGTAAGACCAAATCCTTTTTAAGAACTCACTTGATTAGGCCCACTGAAGACAGTCTCCCTCAGGTTAACTGACTTGGGAACCTTAACTGTATCTGAAAAATCCTTTCACAACAACATACAGATGAGTCCTTGATTGAATAACACAAGGAGGTAGGTTCATACCAGGGAACAGGAATCTTGGCACCATCTCAGAATTCTGCCCACTACCAGGGTGATTTCCTTTTCTGTTTATTAGTTGGTGTGCCTACTTTAATAAAGCCCTTCTCCTTTTTTTCTATCTTCTTCTTTCTTCCTCTCAGAATGGCTACAGGATGTTTTTCCGATTTAATATCATTCGTTGCTGACGTTATTCCCTTTTCCTCTGTCAGTAACTCTCACTTTCTTACTGCACTTGTTTACTTGCTCTCTTCCACAGCTCTTGCGGAGGTCTTCGGGGCGTTGGCAGCTCCCTCTGTCTAGAGTAAGGGCACGGTATAGGGAAGGAAGAAAAAGCCAAGACTCACTCTAGCGCTTCCCACCAAACCCTTTTGGGGTGGGCGGGGTCAGTGTCCTGACAGAGGGTGGGACCTGATGGGATAGAGCGGGAAGCAGCCCAGCAACGGGGACCACGCCCCCTGATGAGAGCAGCCAATCAGAACTTGAGGTGATGATTTCTCCTTTGTGAAGAACTGGTCTTTGAGGATCTGGGTCTTGGAATTCTGGGTAGAGTAAGGGGAGGAGTAGTGGCCTGGGCCTCTGTTTTCAAAACACTCGGACCTGTCTTTATCTGAGTGGAAAGATCATGGGCCCAAAAGGAGCGGGCGCAAAAGCAGCAGGCGCAAAAGCAGCAGGCGCAAAAGCAGCAGGCCCCAAACCAGAAGGCCCCACACCAGAAGGCCCAAGTGCCCCGCCTGCCCCGGAGGCCGCACCTCCTCCGGATGCTCCACCTGCCCCACCTGCCCCAGAGCAGACGCCTACACAGACGCAAGAAGAACTGGACTTCTATGCTCCGAGTTACGTATGTTTGACCTTCACGGCAATAATTCTTTTCCCTCCCCTGGGAATGCTAGGTCTTTACTTCAGCCGCCAGGTAAAATAATGCCACAGTCATGGCCCATCCTGTCCTCTACTTGCCCCCTTCATCCACTCCTGTGCTGGGACCTGTTTATTAGTTGGTGTGGAAATAAGTTTCCCCTTGACCATTCTCCCAAGGGATTCTGGAAGCCCATACCTATGCTCCCATCCCTACAGACCACAGAGGCCAACGAGAAGAGCGATTGGGAACAAGCTTATGCCAACTCAGCCCGAACTGGTTGGCTGGATGTATGCGCCATACTCATTGGTTTAGGCCTCATTTATGGATTGGTCCTATATTCGTGAAGCCCAGGCACAGCATGACAGGGGCTTATACCCCAATAGATCCACCCGCCAAGACACTGACCAGCCGCCATGCCAGAAACTCAAAGGCTGATTCACCTGCTAACAAGAAACCCACCAACCAAGGAACATAACATCCAAGCACCCCAGCAGCCTAGGAACAACTAGGCCTCCTGCCTGTACCACTTCAGCGCACTTGGCCTCCACAGTTATCTTCATCCACCTGGGGCTCCACTCGTCAGTGCCCTACATCCTCTGAGTTCCTCAACACTAGGCTGCTGTCTCAGAAAAAAAATAGTTCAATAAAACTGAAAAGAGTGTTCTGGCTTCGTGTGTGTGTGTGTGCGCGCGTGCGCACGCGTGTGTGCGTGTGTCACAGGGGTTATGTCTCCTAGGCTCTGTGAAAATCAGAATGTCCTAATTGTGAAGCCCAGAGACATGGAAATGGGATAAACGTGGGTTATAGTTTTCAGATATAGCTGACAAAGAGGCCCTCTCTTCCAATCTGGAAAAGTAACTGGTCCCCCATTCATACAAGAGGGGAAGTAGAGAGAGATTAGATCTCGGTATATCTACGAAGAGGTCCCTGTTGCCTGCATCTCAGGAACAGTAGTGTCAAAGACCCCAGATGTTGCTTGTATTTATTCTTTGCAGATAAGTCCTAGGCAGCCTATAAGATCTCAAAAAAGATAAACTACATGGTGGGGAGGTCTAGGAATAAAAGGCCTCAAACAGCCAAGTTAGATATCCCATGCCCCAGCTTGATGAGGATAAGGTGAGGTCCTTAGAAATTCCAACTGCCACAGCAAGATATGACCATCAGAGCGGAACGGGGATGATGTAGGAACCATCCACAATCAATAAAATCAGAGATCTAGGTGAAATGTGAACAACACCGGGGCTGCTTCTGGTGCCCTACCTTCATGAACAAAGCCACATTCACACCAGAACCCTAGAGTCAGCACAATGAAGTTTTCACTTCCAAGGAAAATGAGGATTACTGGTAGAAACTGAACTGTGGGAGAGACTCAACACTTCCCCAAACACCATGGCCTTCTCTTCCTAAGAGTGCTACTCAGCCATACTTTGTAGTTTCCCTGTGTGGTCACAAGGCTGACTTTGGTCCTGTGAGCAGATTTGATGAGTGCCACAAGCAAGCCTGGCCTTTAAACACTTCCACTGGGCACTGCTCCATAATCTTTCTTCCGTGGCCATCGGAGCAAGTGATGTGTAGGGTAATTTTAAGGTCATATATTGTAGAGATGGCAGAGCCCACCCCCATCACTTTGGGTTTCTGAATCATAGGAATGATCTCCATCTGCCTTGAGAGTTGAATGGAAAATAAACTATCCTATTGAGGCAGGACATGTCTGGTCTATTTCCATAGTCCCAACCATCCAAACCAAATCAGATGCAGAAAAAAAGTTGTTATTTTTATACATCTGGGGTTATAGCTTGAAATTTATACCCAACAGAGACACTCATCTGCTTGGGAGGTTTCTAGGAAATAATAAAAGAAGAAAGCAACAAAGATCCTTGTGACCTGAACTGTAGTTGTTACAATGCTGGCTGACTGTTCTGAAGTCTCAAGTGTCTGCATCAATTACATGTGCTTGTGTAACAATGCTCTGTGTTCTTGCGTGTCAGAGAAGGAGTTGTGTTAGTGGTGCAGTGATGGCAGACCTTTCAGAGCTTTCAATGATACAAACAGCTGGCTGTGGCACATGTGCCATAGGTTTGCCACCACTGGTCTGCACATCCAGTGCAGCTCTTGAAATTCCCAGGGGGAGGACAGTGGAGGATGAAGAAATGAAGACAACAGTCAGAATGCAGAAAGCTGAGGTCAGGTGGAGCCCCCTCTCCTGATGGGAGAAAAGGAACTGCCCAAGACCTGCAGTGCATTTATTTATACAATCCACAAGAGATTGATAACAGGTGAAAAACCCTCTCCTAATGAGAGAGAGAACCTGCCTAACAACTTGTTTGTCTGGCTCGCCTCAGGGACTCCATGTTCTGGGGCTGGGCTTGCTTTATCCCTGAATATGTGATGGATCTCCAGCTCAGCCACTCCCCACACTGATCTAGACAGTCAACCATTCCTGGCCATCCCCATGGTGCCGCAAGACTTGGAAAGCCAGTCTTCTTTCTTCTCAGCTTCAGCCCCTGGACTCCCCGACCCCAACCTGCATTCCACGCTCACACATTCAATTGGTATTTACCATCATGTAAATCTAAAACAAAAAAATTGCCTTCTTCCCCATTGAGACATCACCAATTGAATTGCTATAATGAAACATGTGGATTCAGCATTTTTACCCTTATCAGGGTAAAAGTTGAGCAAGTCAAAGTCCTCGGCTATAGTGTTTCTCTTGCTTTGAGGCACCAGGACTTCACAGAACATTTGCTAGTTTTGGACCTGGCCTTTGGCCTAAGCCTGTCCATGAGCCAGCTGCAGGTCTTGCCACAAGTCACTTAGGCCTAGAAAGACTCTCAGTTCATTTTTATGTCAATTTATTAATATCAATCACTGCCTGCTCTGCACTGCATCAAACTGGTCCTCCCATCTCTCTCTACTACTTCCCAGAGAATTAGGTCATGATTTTTTAAAATCTGTTTGTAGAGTATATATTTCCTTATAATTTTCTAAGTATGTTCCATGACTGAGGCCAGCGGTTTATAGGAATTACAACCTCTGTCTGCTCAAATTTTTGAAGTGCAAACCAACCCATGTACCCGCACTCTTTAAAATTTATTTTTATGGGGCTGGGGATTTAGCTCAGCGGCAAAAGCGCCTGCCTGGCAAGCGCAAGGTCGTGAGTTCGGTTCCCGGTACCGGAGAAAAACAAAACAAAACAAAACAAAAAAAAATTTAGAAAAATTTATTTTTATTTTTATCCTGCTTCCTCTCTTCCTCCTCATTCCTCCTCTTCTGTTTGTTTTCTTTCTTTCTTTTTTTTTTTTCTGGTACCAGGAATCAAACTCACAACGTTGCACTTGCCAGGCAGGTGCTGTGCTGCTGAGCTAAATCCCCAGCCCTCTTTACTCTGTTATATGTATCCCTACAGCCATAGTTCCTAAGCTCTCCAGAACTTCACAACTGCACTCAACAGTTTCTCATGTGCTCAAACAGACCAGGTATTTTTTCAATTCTCCCTTCCCCTGGATCCTAAAATCTGATCAGTTAGCTATGACTTTTGCACAACTTTCCCATGAAAAGACTCATAAAGATTCATGCAATGCAAAGGATATGGAAGAGAAGAGGCGCTCACTTTGTGGCTTGCATCTGACATATTTCCATTCTCAAAGGTACTTGCTGTCAGTAATTTGTCATGCTTTTTTCTGCTGATGTTCCACTGCACATGGAAATGCACAGATGTTCACACACATCGATGTTACCCTCTTTTTCTGCTTACCACTAAACCTTGAAGACTTCCCCCATGAGTACTAGAGATTTTCAACCCTAATAGCTTTTGTACCACTTGTGAATAATCTCCCTCTATACAGTACTTTTCTGGGCCACAAGATCAATTCCTAGTTTCTCAGACTTCCCTTTTCTTCCCCCAGTGATAACTCATAGGATTCCAGCACCTGGCCATAAACCTGGGGGTCTTTTTCTGGCTGGCAAACGAAACCTGCATGGCATAAGAGGGAGAATCTAAACAGGATAAGCAATTGCAATGGAAGATTTTGTTCCACATATACATGTTATTTCTAACCTCAGAACACTTTATGACACTCATTGTTACCATGTATCATGATTGTGACTTAACCCTTTAGAAGTCTTTGAGTATTAGGAAGTCTTTTCTTTTTCTTTTTTGTCTTTTTGAGACAGGGTCTCGCTATGCAGTTCAGGCTGGCCTTGAGCTCACTTTGTAGCTCAGGCTGGTCTCGAACTTGCAACGATCCTCCTGCCTCAGCCTCCTGAGTGCTGGGATTACAGGCGTGCACCAGTACGCCCGTCAGGAAGTCTTATTTATTCATATGTCACTCTTGATGAGGAAGAGGAGGAGGAAGAGGGTTTTAGAATCAAAATCCTATTTAAATCAACAGTGCCCTGGGTCTCCTCATTAAATTTTTTAACCAAGTGCATAAAAGTGCACAAATGATCAGTGTACACTAGTGTGTACAGTTTCATAGACAGCACTCAAGTAACCACCACCAAGTACAAGACATAGACCATTTCTGGCACCACAGAAGACTTCAGCCTGTTTTTATGTTTGTTTGTCTATTACATATTTGTAAAGGTTCTTTTTATGTCATAGAAATTAATCCTTTTTGTTAAATGTTGCAAATAATTTTAAAATTTTAAAATATTTTAAAATGGTGTCTGCTATTCTTTTTTTCTTTTTTCTTTTTTTGTCTTTCTGAGACAGGGTCTGAGTGCTGGGATTACAGGCGTGTGCCACCATACCCAGTGGTGTCTGCTATTCTTTCACAAAGAGATTTTTAAGTCTTATAAAGTCAAATTTATCAAAATTCACCTTTATGCTAGGTCTCATATCTTATTAGCAGAAATTTAAAATATGTTCCTATAGTTTCTCCCAATATTTTATGTTATTGTACAATTGTTTTTTATTCCATCTATACTATCCCTTTATTTATTTTTTGTATTATAGGCAATGATAGTCAAATTTTATTCTTCCAATTAGATATTCAAGTGCTCACTTCGGCAGCACATATACCAATTAGATATTCAATTGAAAAAATATTAATTTGTCTGTCCTTTCCCCCAACTTTAAATGTCACCTCTATGCAAAATTTCCGTATCAATGTGTAACTGCCCCTAGATTTTATTTCTGATCCAAAATCAATTTGAATTACTACAGTTTCATAGTGTTATCTGCTATTGATTTGGTCAAATCTCTCATTATTATTCCTCAAAAATTTCTTAGGAATTTTCATGCATTTCACTGTCCAGATGAGCTCTAGAATCTGCTTGCCATATTCCATTTTAAAACTCCTCTCTGCCTGGGTGTGGTGGTGCACACCTGTAATCCCAGCACTCAGAAGTTTGAGGCAGGAAGATTGCTGCCAGTTTAAGGCCAGCCTGGGCTACATAGTGAGTTCAAGTCTGGCCGTAACTGCATAGAGAGACCCTATCTTTAAGAAAAAAATCTGAATTAGATTGTATTATAGTGAGTTAGTTATCAAATTGAGGAGAATTAACACCTTTATGGTAAGCTTCCTACTCATAAACATGGTATGTCATTGTATTTCTACACCTTTGGGGTTATATTATCTATGATCAATAGACCTTTTTGCATTCCATATTATGGAGATAATCTAAGTTGTTATTTGGGGTGATTTTCTAATGTTGATA